TTTTGAACTGAGGTGTTGGAGAAGACTCTTGAGAGTCCCTTGGACTGCAAGGAGATCCAACCAGTCCATCCTGAAGGAGATCAGTCCTGGGTGTTCATTGGAAGGACTGATGCTGAAGCTGAAATTCCAATACTTTGGCCACCTCATGTGAAGAGTTGACTCATTGGAAAAGACCCTGATGCTGGGAGGGATTGGGGGCAGGAGGAGAAGGAGACGACAGAGGATGAGATGGCTGGATGGCATCACCGACTCAATGGGCATGACTTTGAGTAAACTCCGGGAGTTTGTGATAGACAGGGAAGCCTGGCGTGCTGCAATTCATTGGGTCGCAGAGCCGGACATGACTGAGCAACTGAACTGACTGACTGACTGACTGATGTCATCTTCTTCCCTTTGTAAGCAGAGAAGTGACCTCCTCCTCACCAACCAGACTTTGGGTCTGAAAGCAGGATCCTGTCATTGGCAAGAACAGAAAGATTTTTGTGTCTTCAATGAGCCCAAGTGGCTGGGATACTAGGGTCAGAAGAGGACCAAGATTCTCTTTATAGTAACTTTTCCTCTTTATAGTAAAATTTCCTCTTTATAGTAACTTTCTCCTCCAGAGATGAAAGTTTAAATGTTTAATACAGAGCCATACCTAATCCCTTTATTTTTTCATGCCATTGACTTTTGGAAGAACAGGGCCCACTGATCTATAAAATTTGCACAGTTTGGGCCTGTCTGCTTGCTTCTTTATGGTGTCATTACTTCCTTATTCCCCATATTTCCTACAATCTGAAAGTCAGCTGTAAAGACCTGATTAGATCAAGGTTCGATATTATTTGGCAAGAATACTTTATATGTAGTATCAGGGCTGCTTTAAAATGGGACTTTTGTACTTCATATTATATCACAGCCATCTCATACTTACTGATGCTCACGTCTAATGGTGAGCCCAGGGCTGACGGCTTGATGCCTCCATTGTAAACTCTCTCCCGTCACTCTCCATCTAATGGCTCCTCAGTGGTCATCAGTTAGAGTTATAAATGCTTTTCTAATTGTTATTTCTTATCCACTTATTAGCTAGAATTCCTCTGTAAAAAAAAAATTGTCCCTCAGGCTATTTGATTACCATGAAATGTAGTTCATAGATGAAAATCAAGATAAATGATTAATTCTTCCCCTTAATTCCAATTACCCAGATAGCTTTATAATACTGAACAAATTATAACAAGAGTGTTTATTTTCTAATTCATGTTTTTCCTCTTGCTTTCTTCTGAAATGAAAACTGTAATGAATATATTTTCTTTTGAATAATATAAATTCATAGAAATGTATAGGATCTCAGAAATCATGTATTTTAACCCAGTTAGGTTGCTCAAATAAGGAAGCCGAGACATAGAGATGCTATAATATATTCAGTTTGTTGGGTATGCTGAGAATCGAGTCTACAGATCTCCCAGATCCAGATGTGTCACTCTGGGCATCCTATCTTGAATGATGTATATGAAAAAGTATTTGTGAAGGGATACTAGCTAGATTCTGTATTCTTTAATAGCTAGGACTCTGTGATGGCTCCATATCTCATTTCAAACAATCTATTTACCCTTTTAAAGAAACTTTGTTTATCCACATGGACTTTAGCTTGCCAAAGTTATTTTTTAAAGAAATGACTTGAAAAAATAAATTATCTATTCAAGCAATATTTTAAGGGCTTGCACTGAAATTTTAAAAACTGAGAGATCACTATAGAAAGTAAATGTAATTTATTAATTCTGTGTTTTTTGAGCACTAAGTCAATACACCTGTGATATAATCAAGAAGTTTAAGACATAGCTTCCACACCTTAAAATCAAACTGGAGGAGTCTCTCTCTCTCTCTCTCTCACACACACACACACATACACACACACAATCACTATTAAAGAGTTCATGTTCATGACCTCACTAGAAAGCATTTATTTCCCAAGCCATCTTGGGCAAGTGTTCATGGGCAAGTGAATAAATAGATGATGAATGCCATGGGGCATTTTGTATTGGTTTCTGCCATACAGCAATGCGAATCAGTCATAATTATACATATATCCCTTCCCTCATGGCCTCTCTCCCCAGCCCCATCCCATCCTCTCCACACCAGCACCCCCACCCCAGGTCATCACGGAGCGCCAGGCTGGGCTCCCTGTGTTGTTTAGCAACTTCTTGCTATCTATTTTACACTTCATTCAGTTTTTAAACTTTTTATCTTATAGTAAACCTTAGAACACTTGGGATAAAATGATTTCACTAGGACAGGCTATTGCTCCCTGGCGGGGCTTTGAGTTATTTTTCCCTTCCACTCATAGAATGTTACCACCAGTGTCCTTCCTTGTTCCTCCCTATTTAATAATGGTGCACTCATCCGTTCAACAAACATTTATTGAATAATGTGCTAAGCATTGCTCTAGGCACTAGAATATAGCTGTGGATATCAGGCAAGACTCCTGCTCTCTAGGCTTACAGCCTAGAGAAGACAGACAGTATAGGCAATGTGCAAGGAAATAAAACCGAAATTATTTCAGACTATGAAATGGGTGTACGTTAATGTGATAGCAAGTAATTAGGGATGGGGAAGTCTCCGCAAATTGGAAAGGTCATCCCAAAGACAGGACATTTGATCTGACACCTCAGTGATGAAACACTGTGGATAGTCAAAGCCTAGGGTATATTGTCGCAGGCAAACAGAAAAGGAATGTGCAACATTTCCATAGACAAGGCTAGATTTCATATGTTAAGGTACTAAAAGGTGTAAGTGAAATATAGTAAGTAAAAATGCAAGTAGTATGAGATGAAATCAAAATGGAAAGGGGCCAAGTCATGTCAGTTCTTATAGTTGTTAGTGAGCTGTTTGCAGTTATTCTGAGAGTAATGGGAAGCCATTGAACAGTTTTCCATGAGAAGTGACAAAATCAAATCTGATTTATGACTTCAAAAGATCACTATGATGCATGTAGAAGGATAGTAATTATAGCATTGCATGTAGAAGTAAAAGTTTGGATAACAACTAATTATCCATCAATTAGGACAAAGCAGAAATTGTCTTGTGTGTGCATACAATGGAATACCATGCAACTATGAAAAGGGATGGGCAGATATTTATGTACTGATATAGATTGTGAGTGAAAAGCTCAGATGTCAGACAGTGTGGGATGTTTGCTATCTTTGTGTAAAAAGACAAGTAGGACTCTGAAAGAGGAGATTCTGTAAAGAAATGGATTCTCTAGTGGTGGGATTAAGCTGGTTCCCTATTGATCTATGGTGGTAGTGCTGCCATGCAACTAGCCATTCTGTAACTGTGGTCTGTCTGTTTCTCTGGTGTCCTCACCAGCAGAACCCAGTCATATGACATCAGCCTTCCCAGAGCTGCCTCTTCTCATGTTTGATAGGTTCTTAGTATAGAAAGTCGTGGTAGGATCCCTGTTAATCCCTTCCAACATTTCTAAAACAAGGCAATTAAATAATCAGTGGGCATGAGGCTAAGAGTAAAGCTTATTTATCTTACAGTGGGTGGGGTTAGTCTGCTATTTACCATGGAAGGAGTTCCTTTGCAGAATCAAACTTGAAAAGAGAGTTGAAAATGGTGTGAGACAGTGCCATGCCTTCAGAGGAGAGGGAAGGGAGGGTGCAGAAGGAAGAGAGCAACCTGCTAGCAACACCAGGGCAACCCGGGTCAGGCTGCCTCCTCCTCTGGTTGTCTTCACCCACACACTCGGGCCCTGAATTGCCTGTGGATAAAGTTAAAGACAGCCCAGAATCCACCCTTTCCATCATCCCGCTGCTTTCCTCTGTTACCACCATGCCTGGAGCTTTGGAAGTACATTCAAGAGTGAAACCTGCCCAGGATATGGAGCAGAGTGCGTCTGTTATTTCCACTTAACACTGTACTGGGCTTAGCTTAGTCATGTCCAACTCTGCGTGACCCCATGGACTGTAGCCCACCAGGCTCCTCTGTCCATGGGGATTCTCCAGGCAAGAATACTGGAGTAGGTTACCATGCCCTCCTCCAGGGGATCTTCCCAGCCCAGGGATCAAACCCAGGTCTCCTGCATTGCAGGCATATTCTTTACCAGCTGAGCTACCACGGAAGCCCCCACTTAATACTAATCATTTGTTATTTACATTTTGAATTTAAATAAAACTTAAAATATGTATGCAAAACAAAAACTTTGTTGATAAAATAACACCGCTTTTGAACTCAACAGAACCATTGTAAAATTTAACTTGTTCTGGGACTGGCTGATTTCCACTTTCAGTAAAGACCCATCTTTTAAAACATATGAAATACCTTTTACACCAGAAATGAAGCTATACGAGGACTGCCAGTATGTATGCTCTGCGCGTGAGCCTTATTATCTGCTCCCTGTGGACCGGGTGACTGGAGGCATGCGTCCATCTTTGTGTGTCTCTGTGCTTATAACCCTTGAGACCAATGGCAAGATCTAGGGATGTCGCTTTGGGCGTGTCTGATCCTCCCTCACCATTATTGAAATGGCTCTTTGTTGGAGACGCTTGGATAGCCCTTCCAACCCCAAGTGGCAAGAGAAGGCAAGATGTGAAAGTAAAACATATACATGCCCCCCTTGCAATCTTCTGCGCATACTATGGACACACAGATCCTCTAGGAGTTCCTGAGCCCAAGTTAAGGATTTTGGAAAGAGAATTATTGGGTTGGTCAATAATATCTTATGGAAAAACCTAAACAAACTTTTTGGCCAACCCAGTCTATCCTCTGGGCTAGAGGTATCTCAGAGATCATCTAACCCAACCCCTCATTTCATCAACACGGAGACAAAGGCCCAGAGAGGACAGAGAACTTGTCCAGGGCCACACAGCCAGCAGATGTAGGGAGCAGAAGTCTGAAAGGGGAGGAAGATCCCACTCAGCCTCCACGTCTCTATTCTCAGGGATGCTTCCCGGCTGGCACCTGAGCCATGCTGACGTGAAGGACAACTCCCGCGACGAGGCCTTCCGCTTCTCTATTCTCAGGGATGCTTCCCGGCTGGCACCTGAGCCATGTCGACGTGAAGGACAACTCCCGCGACGAGACCTTCCGCTTCCAGTGTGACTGCTGGCTCTCCAAGAGGGAGGGCGACAGGCAGACGGTCCGCGACTTCGCCTGCGCCAGCAATGAGATCCATGACGAGCCGGAGGAGACCAGTATGTGGGGACACCGGTGGGCCCTGCTTAGATGCAGCCTGGGCAGAGGGAGGGGGGAACAATGTTGGAAAATCTAAAGGAAGCTCTCTCACAGCTGGAGGGGAATCAGATGCCCAATGAAAGAAATAACATAGGAGCAGTGCATACGTAAGCACCCTAAGTGTTGCTTCGTGAACCTGAGACAGCCAAGATACTGGTGCCAGCTCATGGCCCCAGATCACAGGGACTTATTAGGTAGCAGGAAAACCCACAGGGGACAAGCTTACCCTGGGCAGTTTGATGTGATGCTCTCTCTGATTTACTTTTTTGTCGTAGACTTTCTCCAGCTGATGTCTATGGCAACAGCCACCAACTCAGGCCTTCCTGAAAACAGAATGTGTAGGGGAGCCAGCATCTCCACCAACAGCTTTCTCTTTGGTTCCTTCCTCAGGGCATGTGTAAAGGGAAAGAGTAATTGGTCCCTAAGGTGGATGGCCATCAAGGACCAGGGAGGTGTCCCTTTAATACAGATGGCAGTATCTGGGTCCGACAGATTTGATGAAGGCTTATCAATGACAGAGCCTGATGTAAAGAAAGTCTTTTCCAATGTTTTCTTACTGCAGCTAGCTAGTTACTGTAACACTAGCTGCAGTAAGACTTAAACCCACAAATCTCAATAGCTAAATACAATAAAATCTGTTTCTCACTGATGTAATCAGTCCAGTGTGGGTGTCTGGCAAGAGGCCTTCCACGCTGTGATTCAGGGGCCCAAGCTCTTCTCACCTGCCATTTTCAACATGTGGCTCGCACATTTCTTGAAGAGGGAAAAGAGAGCTGGGAGAAGGCACATTCCATACTTTCTCAACACGTTAACTCATATTCTAGGAGTCATGTGGCTCCACCTAGATGCAAGGGCACCTTGGATTGTAGTACCTGGCCGGACAGTTGCCCCAGGCAAGCTCTGTACATTACGAAAGGGAAGCATGGATCCTTGGGGTAAAGGCACTCAGCCTTCTGCACCATGCCATCCACACTGCCCAGTGATGGACTCAGCTGCTTGGAGAGGAGTGATCATTGATGGTACTGGGAGTTTCAGACAAGGGCCAACCACTCATCTGTCAGCCTTAACGTATGGGGATAACTGCCCTAATTCAGAGGGTGAACTCCCAGCTTCTCTAATTGTACTTACCGGGGGCCCACTTTTATTTTAGATGCTATGAACCATGCACACTGCTTTGTTTTTGGTAGTTTCCTTGTACTGAACTGTGCCCATCTGTTGATGTCCCTACGCAACTATAAGCTCCCAGAGGTCAAGGACAGAATCACTCTGCAGGCCTTGGGACTTAGTAGGTGCACACATCATTAGAGCTCAGAAAATGAAGGTTGTTTTTTCTTGGGGCCTCACAATCTCATTAGTGGTGGAGGCTAATGCATAATTGCTAACATGAGCAATAAAGCCTCCTGGGGCCCTTGGCGTTCAGGGGAGGAGAGATTTGTGAGGCTGGGAGCATAACCACGGAGTTTCCTTCACAGATTTCCTGCCAAACAGCTTGCTAAGACCTATGGAATTGGGGTTGGTAGGGAGCTTGGTAGAGGGGGAGCAGTACTTGCATTAATTCCGGAAGGATGTGTGTGAGACAGAGATGGAAGGGCAGGGACACCAAGCCCAGGAATGGTCTGGATCAATCTGTCATTACGAGGAGCCTGCAGAGGGCAGGGTGCCCAAAGGCCAGTGACACCCATGTCCCCAGATGGAGGCTCATCCTAGGGAGAGCCAGGGGATACAATTTAAGCCAATCATTCCAACCTCAGCTGTCTTTAACCAAGTGACACAGCCTGGTGTAGGTTCCAGGATCTCTGCCCTCATGGCATTTACATTCCATGTCTGTGGCCCCAGGGACATCTCTGAGCACTCAGCTTGTGAGAATAAACACCCTCTCATATCTGAACAGAGCTCCACACATCCCCTGTCCTCACTGGATCCTCACCACCCTACACCGACCCTATGAGCTGGATAGGGGCAAATTCCCCTCTCTATATCCTAGGTGTGGAAAACCAAAAACCAAAAAAGTGAAGCAACACATCGAAGACCTAGCCAGAGCCAGTAGGACCCATATGACCTGATTCCTAGATCAGGACTCATCACACCATGGTCGCTGTGTCATCACTGGGCCTGGCTGGTACTCCAGATTGATCAACTACCCCACCTTGTTTAGTATCCTGTTTGCTGCCTTCACCTCCAATTTTTGTTAGCAATTTCAGAAGCTGCTCCCCATCCTCTGTAAGCATCAGCCTCTGTAGGTGATTCCAATGTGTAGGCAAAGCAGAAAACCATTGGCAACTTTTAAATAATACTGATATTTGGGTCTCACCCCAGAGAGTCTGTGTTAAGTCCTGGACAGTAAGATCATGTGCTTTTGTGTGCATATGCATGGACACAGCACACACACACATACATGGCACCTAGGAGGGGAGAAAAATCTCTCTCTGGGGCATGCTGTGTGCGTGCTAAGTCACTTCAGTCATGTCCAACTTTTTGCCGCCCCGTGGACTGTAACCCACCAGGCTCCCCTGTCCATGGAATTCTCCAGGCAAGAATACTGGAGTGGGTTGTCATGCCCTCCTCCAGGGGATCTTCCTGAGCCAGGCATTGAACCCACATTTCCTTCATTGGCAGGCGGGTCCTGAGCCTTCTGGGAAGCCCCCTCTCTGGGACATTCTCCAGCAAGACCAATGCCTCCCCTCTCTACAGCCCCCTTCCTTCTTATCCACCCCTACTTGAAGCCTTCTCAGGCTGCTCAGTCAGCCTTATCTGCAACATTTCCAGTTCCGATACAATCAAGCTTCATGACCAACTCTCCAGGTTGGAGGACTCACTGCTCCACCAGGCAGCTCTGTTTAAAACTCATCTTTATGATTTTGTTCTTGAAGCTGCTATCCTCTGGCAGTCCCAATGGAGGCAAACAGAAAACTTCAGGAGTGGTCAGGACTTGGTTGTACGTGCCTAAACCCCAGCCCTAAGCTGGCTCCAGGAAAAAGGGAGCATGTTGGTGCCCAGAACTTGGAAGTTTCAGGTGGAGCTGGCTGGGGCTTGGCTGTCTCCAGAGGCTCCAGTGGTTTCAGTTTGTCCTTGTCCCCTTTTCCTCCCAACTGTTTCTTTCTCTACATCGTGGGAAGATGGTGGCTGGTATCCCCAACCCCATAGCCTTCTAATTGACCAACTTCGGTGGATGGGAAGAGAGCCTCTCTTAAGGAATAATTCTGATTGCCCAAGTCTGGGACTCTGATGCAAAAGCACATGGGAGGAACATCCAGAGCCAAGAAGGGTCTTGGCAACATAAGATGGGGAGGTGACGTGGAGCAATAAGCTGCAGGTGCCTGCTGGACGCCCAGGTGTCCCCTGGTGGTGCTCCTCGGCACCTGGTGCCCCTGCTGTCCTGGCCTCAAGGCAAACACCTATCTGTTCAGGAGCTGCTCACGTGAGGTGTGTCGGATCCGCTCGGCGCATCCTGGGCTTCTGGTTCATCTCTGTCTGCAGATGCCACGCCCAGAGCACAGGCGAGATGTCAAGGGCAGACAGCTTTGCTCTCCCCTGTCCTGCCACATTCATGCCCGCTGAGCCCATAGGATCTTTGTTAGTGGCCCCTTTGTGTGAATGACCTCACAGTGGCTACGGAGCCACTTTCTCCAGCTGGACTCCTCCCATGGGGGTGTTAGCCCCGGGGTGAGCCTCATGTGGATCCCTGCTAGGCTGGGCTCCTACCCGCCCTGCTCTGTCAGGTCCCTGGTCCTCCTCTGTCCTTGCCTCCCAGCCACCTATAAACAAAGCTGAGAGTCATGCCTTCCACATTTTTATCAAGTCATTAATGAAATGACTTTTCCAAGGTGGAAACAGGCTGGTTGAAAGACTGTTGATGCAACTGGCCACATTTGTTTTTAATCCATCTAAATGTCCTCACTTACACACCTTCCTTCTCTGCCTTGTCCCTGGGGCCATGAGGAGAGGGTTGGTTACAATCCACACGCATGTCCTCCTTGAGCTGATCGTAGGAAGCAAGTAGGTTCCTAGTGCTCCCTGCTTTCTCGCCTGGGCGCTGACAGTCCATTTCCTTACAAGGCAGGATCCACTTTGAATTCACAGGTGTCTGGTTTGCAGAAGTACCTTACCCTCCCTGTGTTGGCTTTGAGCCCCCAGCCATGGCTCAGCTATCTCCTGTCCTGGTGCTGCGAACGGTTGGGCCTGCAGAGACAGATTCTTCTTCTGGGGCTGTGCTCACTGTGGATCTCCTCCCCTATCCTGGGATCCGTGCCCAGATTCACTCTACATGTGACTTCAGAGAAGTCACAAAGGCAACAGGTCGCTGAGAGGTTGCATTGAGCTGTAGACACAGCCAGCCCTTCTAATTGTCTTTATCACATTTCTGAGATAAAGCACAGAGATCAAACTATCTCTTTGGATCTAGAATCCCAAATCCTCAGTGACTCACTAACTGCAGGAAGACAGATGTGTCTTCCTGTGTGCCAGCTCCATCCCAGCTGGTCCGAGGGGAGTGGGGCTGGATCTCATGGATCTCGTGGATCTCAAGCCCCTCCGCTGCCCTCCGGTATCTTTGCTTATGCTCCTTCCCCTTCCGTCCTCCTAGAGCATCCCTCAGTTCTCCGATGATCGCAATCATGACTCTTCTTTGAAGCCAAGCTCACACACTGCCTTCTTCATGGAGCTTACTGCGATGAGCCCAGTCATTCATTATTTGCTCAAGAGATATTTATTGAGTGTCTATGTGCCAGGCACCGTTCTGCGCCCTTGGGATTTATAAGGAGCAAAACAAAGACCTTTGCCCTCATGGAGCTAACATTCAGGTGGGAGGGGGTCATACAATAAACATTAAAATGATAAGTAACTGCGTAGCATATTAGAAGGTACTAGGTAAGAGAAGATGGAGAAGGAAATGGCAACCCACTCCAGTATTCTTGCCTGGAGAATCCCAAGGACAGGGGAGCCTGGTGGGCTGCCATCTGTGGGGTCGCACAGAGTTGGACACGACTGAAGCAAATTAGCAGCAGCAGCAGGTAAAAGAAGATGATAGAGCTCAGTAGAGCAGGCTGGAGCCCTGGGGGAAATGGGTTGGAAGTTGATTAGGGTGGTCCCTGAGAAGGGGACGTCTGAGTAGGACAGGAAGGAGGGGAAGGAGTGAGCCAGGCTCACAGGTGGAGGTGGGGAGAGAAAGAGGATGAGCCGCAGACAGAGCTCTAAGGCAGGAGCAGGCCTTGTGCTCCTGGAGTAGCACGGAGGCCAAGCGGAGCGAGCAAGGCGGGGAAGTGCTGGAAGGTGAAGTTGAAGATGTAACGGGAGCCAGATCCACCCTCTCCCCCTTGGTACTTGCGCCCTTTGCTTCAGGTTATTCTGTTCTGCGGTGTCATCAGTGTTTCCGTCTGGGTCCAAATATGAGTGCTAGGGTCACCCAGAGTTTAGCCCAGTCCTGACACTAGACACCCCCTTAACAAATGAAACAATGCTGACCTGCTTGTGGAAACTTCAGGGGAGGGAGGTTGTGATGCTGAGCTTGACACCAAAATGAGAGCTGAGACAAGACAGAGGCAGTTTGTTAGAGAAAGTTCCAGGCTCTTCTGGAGTCTCTCCTGCCTGGATCTTCCCCTCCCCTTTCTATAGCTGGGCCCTGCCTCTCCTCCCTTCTCTTTGCTCCTGATCTTCACTTTGCATCTCAGAGACTCCTCCATCCCTGAGAGCCAGGCCCCAGCATCCCTTAGGAAACTCATCCCCACCTTGTGGTTTGCCCCCAAATTGAGGCAGGTTCTGTTTATGGTGCCTCGATCCTAAAGATTTTAACCTGCGCCCCAGCCCCCGCACTTAAGGCTGTGGTCTAAGACCAGATGCAGGACCTGAAGCGAGAAGCAGGTTGGCTTCTGCCCCAGTGGTGGGTGCCGCTTCCCCTCTGCTGACCGTCTCCCACCTTCTCCACCGCAGCCTACGAGATCGTCATAGAAACCGGCAACGGAGGCGAAACCAGGGAGAACGTCTGGCTCATCCTGGAGGGCAGGAAGAATCGATCCAAAGAGTTTCTTGTGGAGAATTCTTCCAGACAGCGGGCCTTCAGGAAGTAGGAAGAGGGGGTGCCCACAGGGGAATGGGGATAAGTGGGGTGGGTAAGAGGGGACCCCCAAGAACCAACCCTTTTAGTTGGGGCCATAAATGTACAAATGGGCCTAAGCAGCAAGGACTTACTGAGTACCTACTGTGTGCCAACGCCATTCCAGCTCTAGGGTCGCAACAGGAGCTTTAGAAAAGGGAAGGGAAAGGACTATCATTTAAAGAGAGCCCCCCTCTGAGAGACTAGAATCTAATTGTTTCAATGACTAGAAAAAAAGGATGATTATGTAATATGATAGAAGTGCTAATTATGGCCACAATGGCAATCATAGTACAATATAAAAATGTTTCAGATTCATATATTCTACACCTTAAATTCACACAATGGTATATGTCAAATGTATTTCAATTTTTTAAAACTTAATGCAAAACTACAACAAAAATCACTTAATTAATTACAGCAAGTCCAGTATGTGGCAGGATTGGAAATCACACAGATGTTATTCCACATCTGTGCAAATGAGGAGCTCGCAGTGTACTTGAAAAGGGAGACAGTCACCCATAAAAACGCAAATAAGACAGCATGGAATTCAGTTCTAGTGAGAAGTAGGGAGGGAGGGGAGAGCCTCTAAGATGCTTCATAGGAAAAATCAAAATTAGGTCTCGTGTAACAGCGCCCCCGCTTAGCACTCCCGGCTGCCCGCCACGCCCTGGAGAATCTCACGTCTTCCTGTACATCAGAGCTGCTTCTGAACTGCCCAGCTGCCCACTTCATCTCCCTGCTGCCTCCAGAATCTCTTAAATAGAGCCTCCTCCTCCCATAACCTCACTTCACCCTCTTTTCAACCCCCTCTGCGTGAAGATGGGCTGAGCTGCCCCACTCCCAAAAGGCAGCCCACCCCACTTCTTTTCCATTGCCCCTTCCCTCCCTGAACCCAAACTCCAGCCAAGCCAGCCCTCCTTCCAGAAATGACCGCACCTCCAACCACATGACTTTGCCAAATCAAGTCCTCATCAGAAGGTGCTTCCCTTCCCCTTCCTTCTGCTCCCTGAATCTCACCTCCCTCCTCAGCCCAGTGCTGAGGGCCCAGGGCCTCACCCTCCTCCAACACCATCCCCTATTACCAATCACTGATTCTGGGAACAGGCAGCCGGAAGGGCTTTTTAATGGTTCCAATTGTCTTGTTCCAACTCTAGACTGAACCCCTCAAGCAATGGAGGGCTGATATCAGGTCTCGCTTGCCAGTCTATCCCTGTCCCTCAGACCAGCACTTAGGACACAGTTGGCACTGGATAAATGCTTGCTTCCTTCAGTGGGCATGAGCAGCGCTCACTGATGGTACCTTTGTGTCCTGCAGGGGGACCACAGACACATTTGAGTTCGACAGCGTCTACTTAGGGGACATTGCCTCTCTCTGCGTGGGCCACCTCGCCAGGGAGGACCGGTTCATCCCCAAAAGAGAGCTGGTCTGGCACGTCAAAACCATCACCATCACCGAGATGGAGTATGGCAACGTGTACGTGCTGGGCCTCCACCCTCTTCCCCCAGGGAGGCCTGCAGCCAGACCATGGACAAGACGGCAGCGGGTGGGGAGGTGTCCCTTGCGAGGCATCTGAATCAGAGAGGAAGGAGGATAACCCCAGAGGCAGGGGCCTAGACTCAATGACCTTGGGTGCTCCAGCCTTTTTATCCAGTGATGCTTCTTTGGAAGGAAAGAAGAGCCAGCCAGGCAGTGCCAGACAGCTGAGTCTTTCCTGCCCTGCCCCCATGATCACGGTATAATGGCAAAGAGATACAGCTTTGAAGCCTGCTGCTCCACAAAGGGAATGCCCGTCATCCCTGTGGGCAGAGCGGGGACCAGCAGAGAAATCCCATGCCCACCGCCCCGAGGACCCCAGCTAAGGAGCTTTACATTTCCCCCTCCAGGGCCTTCTGAGGACATTTCTAGAGGATTAGGGGTCTTAGTTACCTGGGTAACAGTTCGGAGCCATCAGTTTTTCTAATTAAAACCGCTTGGTAACCGTGTTGGAAGCCAGAAAGAGCCCTGAGGCTCTAGAAGCAGAAAAGACACTAAAAAGGAACCAGGAGAGGATGATGGGGAAGCAGAGGGCAGCGTGTGCCTCAGGGAGCGTAAGCCCAAGGAGAGGCCAAGACAGCAGGGCCACCCCCAGAACCACTGTCCGCCCCTCCGGGCCCCCCCTGTGCCCCTCCTGGGCTGGCCCTGCTCTTGGCGGCATCTTTCACAAGAACTGCAGCAGACAGAAGCAGCAGCCCTGCCTGGCCAGGCGGGTCCCAGCTTCAGGCTCCAGCCTTCAGGGCCCGAGCCTCTCAGGCAATGCCTGTCCACACTCTGCCTGCACCCGCTGGCTCCCTGGACCTGGCCGTCTCTGAGCAAGACTCCCCTTTGGGAATGGGGTAGGGAAGCGTTCTGACATGTGAGCTCGTCTCTCAGCTATCTCAGGCGGCTGTGACCAAATCCCCGGGCTGGGCGGCTCAGACAGCGGGCATTCTTTCCTCATGCCCTGGAGCCCGGAAGCCAGGGTGCCAGCGGGGTTGGGCTCCCCTGAGGCCTCCCTTGCTAGCTCGGTGTGTGTTCACATGGCAGAGAGCGCGAGATCTGGTGTCTCTTCTTCTCTTCACGAGGTGGCCCTAGTGAGCAAACCTGCCAATGCAGGACACATAAGAGACATGGGTTCCATCCCTGGGTTGAGAGGAAACCCTGAGGAGGGCCTTGCAACCCACTCCAGTATTCTTGCCCGGAGAATCCCATAGACAGAGGAGCCCAGCAGGCTATGGTCTATGGGGTGGCAAAGAGTCAGACACGACTGAAGCAACTTCACACACACACACACACACACACTTCTTCCCATAAGGGCACTAATCCCATCATGGGTCCCCATCCTAATGACTTCACTTAAACCCGATGACCTCCCAAAGCCCCATGCACAAATGCCATCACATTGGGGTAAGAATTTGGGGAAAGAGAATTCAGTTCATAGCAGTTCCCTCTCAGGCTGCAATGTTATATTGTTGTTCTTTGGGGGAAAACCAGCTGGGGTACAGTAAACACTATAGAAATCATTGGGTGAGGCTGTGATGAGGACTTGGGAGCTGGGTTACAGGGTTGGGGAGCATTCCAGCCCACCAGCAAGCCAACCTGTACCGCCTCCCAACTGCAAGGAACGTGGCTGCTCATACTTCTCTACAAATGCCCCAAGTAAACAAGACAATACAATACAATAATAAAAGAGTCACCACGTAAGTTAGCTTTAAACCCACAGTGTCAGCTGGGAGAAAGTCAAAGGTCTCAACGCCACCCAGCACCTTCCAGTCTCGGGAGGGAGGGGAGTGAAGAACTTCCCGACCCACAGTCCTCAGCTGAGCTGTAGGATTCCTTGTCCAGTAGAAAGAATCTACCACTCCCAGTGAAGCAGCTTTTCCTACACTCTCAAAAGTGTGGCCTTTCGTCAGCTGGGCTGGGAGGGGAGGAAGGGATGTCCACGGGCTGGACATCAAAGGGGGTGTAGGGAGTCCCGACCCCAGATGCTCCAGCCATCACCAGTCAGCCCGTGGCTTTAGGCCATCGCCCAGCTCCTCTCTGGGAGGAGAGATGGATGCTCTTTGGGGTCTGGCGGGAGGGGAGAGATGGCAAGGAGTATAGCCTGAGAGGCTCTCAGAAGTCATACTCCAGCCTACCTACTGTGCTGGTCTCAGGTCTGTGATTTCTGGTGGGTGACCACCTCCCTCCCCCTCTGCCAAATATCAGCTCTGTCCAGAGTGAGGACGGGGCAGGGCTGTGTGTCACTGTGGCTGTTTACATGTCACCGTTCTCTGTGTGTATTTGTCGCCCAGTCGTGTCCAACTCTTCATAACCTCATGGACTGTAGCCCACCAGTCTTCTCTGCCCGTGGAGTTCTCCAGGCAGGAATACTGGAGTGGGTTGCCATTCTCTTCTCCAGGGGATCTTCCCAACCCAAGGATTGAACCCAGGTCTCCTGCATTGCAGGCAGATTCTTTACCATCTGAGCCTATTTACATGTCACTGTTCTCAGTTCAGTTCAGTTCAGTCTCTCGGTCATGTCCGACTCTTTGTGACCCCATGGACTGTAGCATGCCAGGCTTCCCAGTTCATCACCTACTCCTGGAGCTTGCTCAAACTCATGTCCATCAAGTCGGTGATGCCATCCAACCATCTTATCCTCTGTTGTCCCCTTCTTCTCCTGCCCTCAATCTTTCCCAGCATCAGGGTCTTTTCCAATGAGTCAGCTCTTCACATCAGGTGGCCAAAGTCACTGTTCTAGAACACATTTAAATCCTACCATGTAAAGACCACTTACATAACACTGTATATAGATCCACGGTTCCTTTCTAACCAGCATGTTTGACCATAATATCTGGATTTTCATAAAATACAAAATAATTTTATCTCAATCTCTTATGAAAATCTCAAATTTTCACCTTCCAACTGATTCCAGTCCTGAATCTTGCAGCATTTCTGACCAGCTCTTTGTTGTTAATATCCTCAGGACTTCAGTGGAAGGACACACAGAGGCTTTTGTTTCTTTAAAAAACCCAAAATGAAATCGTTGTTTTATCTCATTATCACATATAATACATAATCATTTTAAAATTCAAATAGGGCAAAAAAAAAATGTGTATGAAAGTAAGAAAAAAATCCCTTTCGTAAAACAAAGTAAAATTCCCTAAAGTCCTATCCATCAGAGAAGGCCACCATGAACATTTGGTGACCCCATTCTCTCTGGCCATTTTCTGATGTCTCACACACACACGCTGTTCAGAGAAGTAGGATCATATTCAACATATTTCTAACATATTCACTTTTGTTCGTTATTCTCTACTTTGTCTTTATTCTTGCTCACGAGCCTATTGCAAGTGAGAACAGCCTGGCGTGTTCTTCCACAGCTGGAGTCTTGACTCCACAGAGCCCTGAGGTCCCACATTTTGGTGATCTTATAATTATGTCTATTAGGAAACGTTTCCTTATAACTACACCAGGGACTATTTTTCAGCCATTAAAAACAACGAATTAAATATGTACCAGAAGACTTGGAGCCATTCCCAGGAAGAATTGTTGAGTGAGAAAAGCAAGATATGGGGAAGCATGTTATTATATGATGCCATTTTGTAAAGGGAACACTGATGTCCCACATGTGTGTGGGTCATGTGCATTCTGTGCAAGGTTGGGTGAAACGGAGGGAAATTTGGCAAGATACATCCACAACTGTTACATGAGTTATCTGAGGTGAAGGCAGGATGCAGGAGGGGAAAGGAGGGGGAAAGGGAGACAGAGCCAAGCATAAAAGAAAAGAGTGCATTTAGAAAACCACATATGATCACAGGATTTGTGCATTTATATAGAATTATGTATATTAGTGGACATTTGCATAAAGAAATACATTTTAAGTGAATGTTTAAGCAAAGAAGGCAAATATATCTCCCTCTAAGAAAGTGTGGTATGTAACAACAACCCAGATTTATCAAGTGACAAGTTGGAGGAAGAGAGCTATCCAGACAGAATTCCACTTTCCTGCCAAGTGTCTTTAAACGGCTGGCTGCGGTGGTGGCCGGGCAGGCTGGCTCTGGGCCCCGACTCTGGGTCACCTTGTGCTGTGACTTCTCTTCTCCAAGCCTTTGTTTCCCCTCTGTGAAACTGGAGGAGATGAGCTCTATGACCCGGGGAGTTGATGAAATGCAAGAATGCCAAACCCAGGCATTTAGTGAGCATGCAGAAAACCAAGCTCTTTTTGCTGTTATAGACTTTCATCTAAAAATTAATTTTTCATCATTGGGCACACCCTTTCAGGGCTACGTTTCTGAAATCATTAGCCAGTACCAGAATTGCTTATTTCCAAAACTGTTAAAGTGTTAGGAATTTGGATGGGGGGGAAAAACAAGGACATTTGTTCAGTCCAAACCTCTAGCTTTGCCAGTGGGAAAATGAAGGTCATATAGGTGGGAGGCGGCAGGGCTGGGGCAGACCCCAGCCCCCTTATACCCTATGCAGTGCTTTCCCACCACGCCTCTGACTTCTTCCTATAATTATTGGACTCACTGTCATTACCCAGAGGCTAATATTGGGGATGGGGTTAGAGAAGGGACTTTTTGGTCCAAGACCATTTCTCTTCGCCCTGGACTTGCTTCTGCACATGGTAGCTTCTTCAGCACTTTGCACCCCTTTGTACTGTGTCATCCATGAGCACATGCATGTGTGTGCAGACACACAACATGCATACACACACACACATACCCATGGTTCAACTCAGCCAAGTGCAAGGGATTTGGGAGCATACATCTATCTCGTAGTTACTTTTCCCCTTGACTTGGCCTGGGATTGTCGTTCTGGTCCCATAGCTCCTCTGAAGGTGACAACAGTGGGTAAAAGCATTCATCAGTCCCTTGGGAGGAGCAAGCGGACCAGCCTGGATGGTGTGCAGTGAGCTTAGAGAAGGGGAGGAACAGGTCAGAGAGGTAAACCCTGGGCAGAGGATCAGATCGTGTAAGGTCTTGCAGGCCTTTGTAAGGTGGTGGCTTTTATTAATACTTATTCTAAGTATTACCCCATCACCAATTCACTGGACATGAGTTTGAGCAAGCTCTGGGAAATACTGAAGGAATCCTGGCGTGCTGTAGTCCATAGGGTTGCAAAGAGTCAGACACGACTGAGCGACTGAACAACAAAAATTCTGGGAAGAAGGATGAAAAAGAAAAGGAGAATCAAGGGGCAGTTTAAATTCTGAGCAGAAGGATAACATTCTCGGGCTTATATCTCAGCAGGATCACTTGGATGCTGTGCAGAGAATTCACTGTAGTACGTATTGAGAAGCAGGGAGACCGGTTAGCAGGTTGACGCATTCCAGATAGATGGTGGTGACTTGGATGAGAAGGGTGGCAGGGCAGTTAGTGAGACTGTGCTGATTCTGGACTTATTAGATTGTATTTTAAAGATGGGGTCAGTGGGAATTGCTGGTGGATCAGATGTGGAGTGGCTCCGCAGGTAAAGAATCCACCTGCAATGCAGGAGACACAGGAGATGCAGGTTCGATTCCTGTGTCAGGAAGATCCCCTGCTGGAGGAAATGGCAACCCACTCCAGTATTCTGGCCTGAAAAATCCCAAGGGCAGAGGAGCCTGGTGGGCTACAGTCTATGGGGTCTCAAAGAGTCAGACACAACTGAGCAACTAAGCATAGATGTGGAGTGTGAGAGGAAAAAGAAAAGGAGAATCAAGAGGCAGTTTAAAAGATGGTGATGTCAGGCACTGTCGATTTTCAGATGAACGAGGCCTATCCTCACTTTTGACGCAGACAGTTCTCTCCCTGAGATCTTATCGTCTGGGACAGGATCTCTGGTGGATGCCCAGGATCCCGGAGGGGAGGGTGTGAGCCCTCACTAACCTCCTCCATTCCCGCCGGCAGGTATTTCTTCAACTGCGACAGCCTCATCCCCCTCAAGAGGAAGAGGAAGTACTTCAAGGTCTTCGAGGTCACCAAGACTACGGAGAGCTTTGCCAGCAAGGTCCAGAGCCTGGTACCGGTCAAGTACGAGGTCATCGTGACGACTGGCTACGAGCCCGGGGCGGGCACTGACGCCAACGTCTTCGTGACCATCTTTGGGTCCAACGGCGACACGGGCAAGCGGGAGCTGAAGCAGAAAATGCGCAACCTGTTTGAGCGGGGCAGCACTGACCGCTTCTTCCTGGAGACGCTGGAGCTAGGCGAACTGCGCAAGGTGCGCCTGGAGCACGACGGCAGTGGCTGCTGCGCGGGCTGGCTGGTGGACAGGGTGGAGGTCACCAACACCAGCACCGGGGTGGCCACCATCTTTACCTGCGGCAGGTGGCTGGACAAGAAGCGGGGCGACGGGCTCACCTGGAGGGACCTCTTCCCTTCCGTCTGAGGGCTGCAGGCCCGCCCTCTCCCTTCGCACCAGCTCACCCCGACCACACCTGCCACGCTCCCCCAGGGCTTTCAGGAGTCCTTTCCTGAAAGCCTCCTGGAGCTGGCACTGGGGGGCCAGAGCTCCCTGGCCCTTCGGAGGTCACTGTGGGTGATGGCTGGTGCCGTCCCGCCCTCTCCCGGGTCTCCTCAATCTATAGGAATCCATTATTGTGTCATAATCTGTGGCTGCCCAAAAATAACTTTTGGCATTTTCTTTTTCTATAACAGTAGTGACCAGGCTGAGACTTGCTGCTGGGTGTGTATGGGAAATTGGGGCTTCACCCAGGGGATAGAAGTGGGGAAGAAGAGGTCCTCAAAGTGATGTATTTTAAGCAAGAACTAATTAACACTTCCCCCCCTAAAAAAAAACGGGGCTAATTAAATTATTACCAACCACACCCCGCAATGAATTCATCTCAGCATCTGCTCACTTAGAAACACATCCTTTTCCCCAGTTTCAATAAATCCAGTGGCCAATGGAGAAAAACATCAGGAGGAAGAATTTTAGCTGAAAAAATTTATGGGCCTGGAACAGATACCTGATTCTTTCCATCACCTTTCAAAGAACGCATTGCCAAGTGCCCGCGGCTGCCCCAGCCAGAGATAACACAGTTGAGATGCAGAGACCTGAGCAGGTGGTGAGTTGCGGGCAGTAGAAGGGACAGGTTGCCTGGAACAGCCTGGTCCCTGCGCACGGGGCCTGGGAGGACAGGGGGACATCTGTGGTGCTTAGCACCTGTCACCTGTGGCTCACTGTGGGCAATGTGGACGGACAGCTGAGAGGGACTGGAAGAAGATAAAGGTGTGGTCTCTGCCCTTGACGGGGTGACCCTGATGGAGAGGCAGCCGGAGAGCCCCATATCTGTGTGGCCCTCCAGCTGTGTGTGTTGCACACACACACACGCACATGTGCTCACACACACACAGACACACACACACTCTCCCTGATCAACCATCACAAGAGTGCAGCAGAGCTCAGCCCCTGACTTCTCATTTTCCTGCAGAGGGTGGGGTGGGACTGAGCAGAAAGGAGCATCAGGCCAGGAAGTCTTCCTGTAGGAGGCACCCGGAATCAGCATTTCTGCCATGTCACCACAGGCCCTCTAACCCAGGCAGGTGTAAACTTGGTGAGGCTTCCTGGCTCTGCACTCTCAGAGACCTTTTCGAGAGAGGCCGCCGCAGTAAGCACAGGCCCAGAAGCAGCAAGAAGCAGGCCTGAGTCCCAACGATTGGGCACATTATCTCATGTCTCAGGCCTCAGTTTTCTCATCTGTTAAATAGGAAGAATAACACCAACTTCGTAGGTTATTATGAAGACTAAGTGAGTTAAAATGCAGACCAGTTAATTCAGCACCTGCAATGAAGGGTTTGTCCATCATATTGAATAAGCAGGACTCAAGGGGCTAGGGTAGGATCGGGGAGCAGTAATCATTAAACAGCTTTCTCTGCGTCTTTTTCTGGAGCTGGTTCTTCCCCTGTCCCTGGACGAAAATTAAGGCAAGCCTCATAACTCTTCTGGACTCTCGTAGGTAATAAAACGTCCAACAGCCTCTTTAAAGCCACAAAGTCCATCTCAGTTTTGTAATTTAAATGTTTGGCTCCAGTACAAAGACCAAAGCATTCCACTTAGAGCTGAGTCTCCTCCCATCCCCCAGCTCAGTCCAGTCCCAAGCGGGAACCGAAGTGAGAAAACAGGAGTGTGTGTGTGTGTGTGTGTGTGTGTGTGTGCAGACGTATATGCATGAGTATGGAGTCAGCCTCACCTCCTGTCCCCACCTTGCAGTTTTACTCCTGACACTGATACCCCACCCCTGGGGGAGGGAGGAGAGGTGAAGACGGCAGCTTCCTGTTGGGGGCCCCAGTGTGGTCAGCATCCTTCTTCCTGGACTGGCAGCGTCTGAAGCCTTCCTCCCATGAGCACTTGTGTGGGCTCATTCTCAGGCCCCTCACCTCCCTCTCCCACTGTGTCTGCTTAGAATCTAAGACACCCGAAAGGAGATTCTCTGGCAGCCTTTGCTCTAACAAATCCTGGGCACTCAGGCCACCCTGCCATCAGCAGTCGGTCAGCCCATCCTTCACTCCCACAATCTCTCTGGATGCGGCAGGGCGCTGTGTCCTCAGCTGAGATGGACACATCCCCCTCTCCAAATAGCCCCATTGAAACCCCAGTCATAGCCTTGAGCAAAAGGGCAGCCCAAAGGAGGGAAGGGGTACTCCCGGCCCACCCTCAGCTCTTTCTGAAAGTCCTGCCCTCCTATCCGTGCCCACCTCCTTCTCAGGATCTCCGTCCGTCTGTCCTTTGTCATACCTGGAGAGTGATGCTCAGCTCAAAGTTAAAAGCACTTTCTGCCGTGTCCTCTGGCAAGCGCTACTCCATCCGAGCATGGAATGTAGCATCCACTGTTAATCCAGCCAAGACTGGGAAAGGAAAGGCCCCGTGTTCTTTTCAGTTGCTGATGTGCTCAATAAATATGGGCTTACTCTTACTGCAAAAGGCTGGACTGGTTTGGGAATATACCCCATGATGTGCGTCAACTTTCTTTCCGTCTCTTCTTGGCCCCGGCTCTTCTCCCTCCTCACCAGGGACTTGTGAAGATGGGTTGAAACTAATGCCGTGAAAGCTATCAAAACTGTTATCCCTTCTGTTCATCGGGCTGTACTTCATCTCCCGCAGGGCATCTCCTACCCGCCTGGTTTCCCCAAGTCCCTGGGGACCTGGGCCAGTTACCCCGGCTGTGTGTCCAGCAATGCCACGCACTGTCTATCTGCTGAGCCTCTGGTTGGAGCCATTCCTCGGGCTCCAAGTCTCCTCCCCACCATCCAGCCCTCCCTCCCACCCTGTTCTGAGGCTGCAGGCCAGTCCGGCCTCCCTGCTTCAGAGGGGCAGGACCTGAGGACTAGAACGGGCCTCTGACTCACCAAGGCTCCCATAGGGACAAGGCTGCGCTTGCAGAGGATGCCCTTGGCACTCCCAGAAGAGGTGGGGAGGAGATGCGCAGGGAGGTGGACAGGGGAGTCTTGTGGAACCCTCCTGCATCAGGTCCCCTCCCCACGGATCTGCTTCTTCGGGCTGGGCACTGCCCTTCGCTTGGGGCCCTGAAGTCCCCCTCCCAGGCTGCAGGTGACCCCACTTAGCAGGGTACTGGGGAGAAGGGCAGCGAAAGGAGGGGCCCCTACTGACCCTGCTCACACCAGCTGTGCCCTCTCTGCCCTGAGGAGGGAATGCAGGGCCCCTTCCCCAGAAGCCTCCCAGAGTGGGCACACTCCAAATCTACCCCCCCCCGCCACCAGCTCCACCGGTCAATTCCTGGAAGGGCAGCAAGAAAAGCTGGGATTGGGAAAAGTAAGCAGGCAGCCCAGGATGCAAATGTTAAGGAGGCACTCAACCTCAACCTTGTGCGAAGGCAGGGCTGGCACCCAAGAGTGGGACTTCCTTAAACATTGCACCCAGGGCACCTTGTTTGCCTCTTCCTCCCTAGTCCTGGCCCTAGAAGAAAGACATTCTTCTACCCAAAGGCCCCACAAAGCTCTGTATCCCAATAGTCCTAATCACAAGACTGAGACTCAACAGCCAGCAGTGGGGAAGGTGATCAGCCCCTTCTCTATGGAAGGTGTCTCCTGAACCCACCTCACCTCCAGGTCCCTGGTCATTGCTGGGGCATCAGCCTTGGCCAGTGGCACTGGATAGTCCCTTTCCTCCAACCAAGACAAAATCCCTTAAAAGTGAAAGTCGCTCAGTCACGTCTCACTCTTTGCGACCCCATGGACTGTAGCCGGCCAGTCTCCTCTGTCCGTGGAATTCTCCAGGCCAAAATACTGGAGTGGGTTGCCATTCCCTTCTCCAGGGGATCTTCCCAACCCAGGGATCAAACCCAGGTCTCCCACATTGCAGGCAGGTTCTTTACCATCTGAATCACCAGGGAAGCCCCAAAACCCCTTAAAGTGAAGAAAACAAAACAAGGAATAGTCTTGCCCTCCTCTGTTCCTCTGTTCTATTTCCCACCGTCTTCTCCAGACCTGCTCATTCCTTCCCCAACCCCACCCCTCTCCCGCATTGGCAGCTCATATTGCTAGAAAATTCTTTTTTATAAAGATGGCTTCTTGAGTGCCAAGGTTTATATCAGTACCATCTTTCGTCATTTGATTCTGAGACAAGTTTGCATTAAAGAATATTTGGAGAGAATCTTAAATGTAAAGCTATAACTACAAAGTATTTCCAAATAAAAACCTACATGTGTGTTAAGTCGCTTCAGTCGTATCCGACCCTGTGCAACCCTATGGACTAACAGGATCCTCTACCCACAGGGATTTTCCAGGCAAGAATACTGGGGTGGATTGCCATGCCCTCCTCCAGAGGATCTTCTGAACCCAGGGATCAAACCTGCATTAGCAGGCAGGTTCTTTACCCCAAGCACCACCTGGGAAGCTCAAATACCCCGGGGTCCACATTAAAGAAAAAGACTCATTTGCAATTAGCACAAGTTATTTACACAGGAAATGTTACACCAAAGTCTAAGAAACAATTTTGCTCTGAAGCAGGTTAAACAAAAGCCTTCAATCATGTTTTCTCAGCTCTTTGAGCAACACTCTCCTTCCAAGATTTTGTTATGAGTAAACACAACTCACTTCAGATATACCCCTTCTGAATTCTGATTACGTGGGCTCCAAATGGAATAAGGTCAGAAGTACCATAGACGCCCACTTCAGGAGGACCCTTGGTGCTGTATCTTTGTCCTGAGCAGGGACCCCCATTACTCTCAGTTTCTTGGCAGAGGTGATACCGGGCATCATCCACCTGCAAACAGCCAAGTGCCCTGAGTGAGGGCAAGAGAAGTCTCCTGGGAACCTCAGCCTTGGACAAAGGGAGTATGGGCAAGGACATTTGACATTTCTAGTCCTAAATTCAAAAGGAGAAGGTTGGGTAGTGTCACTGGAATGGGAGGTGGGGGGCAGTGATGC